ACCTTACCCGTCCGGAGATTCCCCGGGGGCAAAAAGATGACGCAGGCGGAAGAATTCCACCTCGCACGTAGACCTCGCAGGTCGCCGCCGAGAATTATTCCAGGTAGGTACGTGCCAGGACACCGACACCACTCTCGGTGGTGTAAAGCCGTGAGAGGTATTTACGGGCCCACCTCGTTCAGCCTCACCTGGCTCTTGTGGAATGAGAGTAGAGTGGTCCCACGAGATGCTCGTCTCAGATACTAGGAGTGTAGACCGGTGACCAAGATGACTATGCATCTCGAGTGCGTTTCAACAAGCCGGACACCTCGAACGACGGCTCTCCACCTCTCATTACCTTGCCATTAGTCGCCTCTTACGACAGGCAGGGACTTCAGGCCTCGGCCGTATTCTTACTTCCACGAGCCGATTTCACAATATATTATTAGAATATGTATTGGATTTTAACTGAGAAGATGGAGATGACCAAGTCTTCGGCGACTTGGTTGCCGCAGATGCTCATCATCGAGTTAAAACGGAGTTATTTCCGCGAAAGAACGGAAAAAACGGCTTTCTTAACAGGAAAGTTAAACGAGCTTTTTTATTCTGAAGTATCTTGATAGAATATTTACAATGGAAATAGCCAGCTTATGCCAATTGGTTGTAAGGATTTAACAAGTTCAAAGAGAAGCGACTTAATTTGTTAACGAAACAAGTACTTTTCATCCACCAGAGCAATTAATTCGTTTCACGATGGAATCTTTTTGAGCAACGTTTATGTATTGAATAAATTATTGTTGCTGTAGGGTAAAGATCGAAGAATGGATTTATATATATCGTCATGCACAACTATCTTATCTGTATCCATCCACTTTATGGAAAGATCTAGGTTTCTGAATTAAGCGCCATTACCACCGAACACAATATCATCATCATCAGTGGCATTACAGCTTGCTATGAGCTAAAGCCTTCTTCAGAATAATTCTACATTCACCCCTGTCTCTGGCAGCTTGTCTCAAGTTGCAACGCCTGCGCCACAAACCTTGCGCTTTTATTCCCCATGTATTCTTCTTAGGAATTTTGGCTCGAAACGTTTAAGCAGTTCTTGGTGTAAGTAACCACGTTGCTTACGTCGATTTATTTACGACGATTAATTTATTTTTTTTTTAAGTTTTGAAGTCTCCTCAAGCCATCAATCAAACACTAATTGGCAAACGCTAGTCTCCTTTTAATTTCTTCGCTGTTGTTATCTTTAGACCGAACACGATATACATTCGTTTAATCGGTCCAAAACCAGATTGCTAGTGAACATAATTTATCAAGCAATTGCAGATATCCAACATTCAGAAAAGCATTTGGTGTTTTATGGGCTGGTGGAATGACTGGTACTTATTTTTTGAAAAACATTGCTGGTCAAAAAGGTTAAGAGTCAGTGGTTGCTTTATAGAACTATGATGAATGACGTTTTTGTTCCTGAACTGAACCGCCTTAATGTGATGGAGTTGAGGTTTCATTAAAATGACGCAACAAGTCCCACAATTTATTTATTGAAGAACATATTTCATGAGAACATAATTTTTTGGTTTAGACTTATGAATTGGCCTCCAAAAAGAGTGCGTTAGTATACATCAGGTAGTAGTAACAATTACGCCTCCTTTTTTCTTAAAAGTGCGCTTTCTCCCGCTAAATATTGATCGAATAGTCAAAATTTTCGCAAAATATGACATTCATTGTCCACTTTACCAACGTCGTTATCCACTCAACGAATTTACCGTATTCCCTATACTTGTGGTTCAGTACAAATTGGAATAAAAAACGATTGTAAATACTCGTTTGATTCAACAAACTTGTTCCCTGGGAAAAATCAGTTGAACATCTTCTTCTTCATATGCCATCTCCTCTAAGAAGGTTGGCAACCACCAGTTAAACCAAGCTCTCAAATTGTTTAATCAAGAGATGCGTCTTCTTCCGCGACTCCTTCTTCCCTGTATTCTTCCTTGCATTATTAATTGCCACAAGTTATAACGCTCGCCCCTCATGCCACGTCCAGATATTGCACTTTTCTGACTTTAATTGTATTTAAAAACCTCTTTACCTTTTCCCATTCTTCTCAACACCTGGACATTCGTGACTCTATCCACTTAACTTATTCTTAATATCCTTCTGTAGGCCCATAACTCGAAGATTTCTAATCTGTCCGAATAATCTTTCTTTAATGTCCAAGCCACCAACCCATAAAATAATGAACACGTAGCATCTGAGAAGTCTTATCTTTAAAGAAATTAAAATATCCCTGCTGCAGAGTACTTTTTTCAGTTTGATGAAAGAATTTCTTGCCTGCTCTGTTCTTGCCTTAATCTCTTCTGTCTACTCATTATTTTCGTTAATTATTGTACCCAGATTCAGTTGAACATACCACCGCATAAAATAAAAACGACAAAATTTTATTCGAAGAAACACATATGTTTAGTAGAATAATACACCGATGTTCAGAGGCTATCGGAATTCAAAAACGCCTGTGTAAAGAAGAGGACCTGCATCTAAACAGTTTGAGATTGTCAACATGACGAAAAAAGAACAGTGATCATCAGAGAATGATAGGGGGAGGCAGGAAAATATGTCTGCCTACTCCACATGACTGCTGTAGTTGTTGGAAGAAAAAAATTATAGGGTTATTAACGGCCTATAAACCCTGTTACCTATAAAGCCTATAATTTTTTTCTTCCAACAACTACAGCCTGAATACAATGTACGAATATTGGGTTTTTATAAAATTCATGAAGAAGAAGAAGTAAGAAGTCTTATTTTTACAAATTAGATTTTTTACCAGACAGAGAAGCAAAATAATTTTAAATTCTAAATAATATTTCATAAATAACATTCTCATAATTAAAACTCCAAAGTTTACGTTTGAAAATTATATTTTTTTGGTTATAACATTAACGTGAACGGTATAGTTATTGATAAAACATTTCATTATTCATAGGTTGAGCTTACTAGTTACAATAAATATTCTGAAACAATATTTGAAGTGTATTTTCGTATATTTAAATGTCTAATTGATTTCAACATCTTTATATACACACGTCAGAAAAGTCTAGAGATATTTTTATAACATAATAAAATTAATTTTTTAACGTTTACTCCGAAAGATTTTCAGAAAAGCACTTTCTGAAAAACAAGAAGGAATACTTGTGAACGGCGAAGTCATCAATAATTTGCGATATGCGGACGATACAGTACTCCTAGCTTCTAGTCAAGAAGATCTGCAAATACTACTTGATAGTGTCGTTGAGAGTTGTAGGGAGGCAGGTCTGGATCTTAACATAAGGAAAACCAAAATACTTGTAATAAGTAAACAACAGAATATAAAACCGTCTATATATGTAAATAATACCAAACTTGAGCAAGTTGATAAAATCGTCTACCTTGGACAGCAATTAAATTGTAATGCAGAAAATCACGGCGAAATTAGATCCAGAATAGAGCAGGCTAGAGCTGCTTTTAGAAGGATGTCCAAGGTGTTATGTAACAGAGACCTAAAATTGGCATTAAGGATCCGCCTACTTCGCTGCTACGTGTTCTCGGTCTTACTTTATGCTGTCGAGTCCTGGACTGTGAATAAAATCGATCTAAATCGCCTTGAGGCTTTCGAAATGTGGTGCTATAGAAGAATTTTAAAAGTTTCCTGGGTGGAGAAGATTCGTAACTCCACAATACCTGAACGTCTCAGCAAGACCACTGAGATCATAAAAAGCATCAAGCAGAGAAAGCTGGAATATTTCGGACATGTAATGAGAGGTCCCAAATATAGATTGCTACAAAATATCATGCAAGGAAAAATAGCAGGCAAACGCAGTCCAGGACGAAGAAGAACCTCATGGTTGAAGAACTTGCGAGATTGGTATGGTGTAGATACAAGCATGCTATTTAGGGTGGCAGTGAATAAAATTAAAAGAGCTATGATGGTAACCAACGTTCTGAAAGGACATGGTACATGAAGAAGAAGAATAAAATTAATAAAATAAATTCATGTAGTCGTTTAATTTCAATTGAATTTATACAGTTGCTCATGCTGTAGATTTTTGTTAGTCAAACAAAACAGCAAAACTGCTAACGAGTGTTTGATAAAGTTTTTAAAAGGAGAGAAAAAAACTACAATTTTTATACTGCAGTCAACTTTGATAAAAAGTTTTTGTTTAGTTAGTGCACTGAAAATATTTTTTTAACATAGAACAACGTCATTTAACTTTGGATGAGATGCATAGAGCTGTAGGCCTTTTCAAGATGGCATGCGGCAAACTAATGTAGCTGAGCTCATGAGAGTCTCCCAAAGTGTCATAAGTCGATTGTGGAGGCGTTTTATGACACTGGAAGTACAGCCGAACGTCATCCAGTACGTTAGCGTGCTACAACTGCAGCTCAAGACCGATTTTTAGTGTTAACCACTAGAAGACAACACCTGAATTGGTTATCGAGTTGCAGCTGGCACACCAGGTAACCATAGGCCATGATACTGTAAGAAACTGCCTCCATACAGCCAATCTCCACAGTCGAAGGCCATTGAGATGTCTAACTATCTCCAGAGCCAATCGCGCTGCAAGATTAGAATGGGCTCAAGAATATCAAAACTGCAAAAACGAATCTAAATCTGGAAAAACCTCGTTTCCTAGACCGCTTCCTTACAGTTCAGCAGTATCTTGACATCATTCTTCAACCTATTGTTCGTCCGTTTGCTGGTGCTGATGTTTGCTCAAAACTTCCAACTCCTATATCATAATCTTCGTCCACATGTCGCACGCCGAGTGACAGACTGTTGCCAACGAAGGTATTGATGCTTTGGCCAGCACAATTCCGCGACCTGAATCCCATCGAACATGTATGGAACATGCCTTAATGAAGAATTACTCCACGTATATCTCATGGGTAACATATACACACCGTTTCGTTTCACAATTTTGTTGTACATTAAATACTACTAATCACTACAAGGTGAGTATTATTTATTCAAAACAATTAACAATTACAGAAGAACTTACGTTTCTTTCTAAAAATACCCCTAGACTTTTCCAATGTGTGCATTATTAAATTGGTCTTCGTAGGATTTAATTAATTAGTGAGTTAAAAAAAAGTATCCAGTATAACAAATAACTAATTCTTCACAAAAACCTACTTAGCTCCTCTTGTAAAAATACTAACAAAACATTAAAGTACATACTTTCCATCATACCTGGCGATTACATGGGTAAGTCAGTTCTGCAAATTATGCGTTTCTATTCCTCCAATATCTTTTCATCATCAGAAATACTCTGCATAATATCGAGAACCGAATTCCCAACTGTCTTTGTATTTGTTACTAAAACTAATGATTTTACTGTTCGAAAATGTCTTGTCGTACGGTCGAGGTGGCCGTCAATTCTCAGTTGGAAATTAACACGTATATCATTCTGGAACAAATAGGGAAAACATTAGGGATTTCGGTTCTTAAATATTCCCGATAAGAGTAAAAAAGATACCCCAAAGATCGTTATGAAAATGTAGTGAATCAGTTTTTTTAAGATTGTTTGGAATTTTACAAATCGCAAACAATCTTAAAAGTTTTATTTAGCTTTAAAATAATTTAAATAATACAAAGATGCAATATACAAGGTGCGCGCAAAAATAAGATGACAATATTAAAATTACTTTGACTTATACAAAGCTTTATCATTATTTTGAGTAGTTCTAGGAGTTATAGTTACATTGTCATATTCCCGTTTAGAAAAGTCTAAGACACAAAAGCTTTACCACAAAAGAATCAATTAGGGGAGAGTTACCTAAGACGGGAAGGTTCCCAAGTAGGGACACTATCAATTCTAGAAAATTGGTAACAAGTGGCAACACCTGCACTGGAAGAATGAAAGCTCGCCATTCAGTCGTATTGTCACGTAAACGACACGAGGCTAGCATACCGGTAGCGTTCGTCAGAACAGGTTGTTAATGTTTACATATTTTTTTACATTTATTTACGTACAACATTATAGTGAATATAGCGTTAATGATAAGTATCTGTGAAACTTAACGTTATTAGTCAATAACAGAGTTTATAGTCATTGCATTTCACTGTAAAGTATTTGCCACTAAAGCTTTTGTTTAATATGGGTTAAGATTTTTACAAAATGGGTTCAAATCTCTTAAGATGGGATAAAGTTCCTAAGTCGGGACGTCCCATCTTAGGAACTAAAATATGGCTACAGATATTCTTCTTATACCTGCCTACTTTTAACTAATTAAATCATTAATTACTCATAAATTCTTACATATAACGGTAATTCATTCTAAAAACAATTATAAGTAGGGGTTCAGTAATTAGATTATACCCAAGGAGGTCATAATATTCTAACCTTGATTATAGCTAAGTAAAGATAATGTGTCATTAAAAAATGTTTTATTCAGTGAACTCTATATCTCGTAAGTGGCACTGATATATTTTTCTTTTACAGATGCCATATAGAAATTCAAATTCCTATTACAAAAGAAAAACTGATCGTGGAAACTGGCCCGTTCAAAATATGATTCTAGCTGTACAAAAAGTTCGGAATAACGAACTATCGCTTCGAGAAGCTGCTGACAGATATAATATTCCTAAAAGTACTCTTCAAAGACGAGTTACAAACAAAAATAAAATCGTGACCGAAAATGACAAATATTCTCAGTTGAACAGGAACACGAAATTTTAGATCATATTCTTGAAATGGTCTACAAGCATACGTTTGGTGGTAAAGATATTACCACTATAATTAAGCGAAACCGCCTGCAGTGGGCAGGACATGTAGGCCGGGCCCCTGAATCGAACATGATAAAAAAGATTCTAACAGCGCAACCTGTGGGAATGAGACGACGGGGTAGACCAAAGCTGAGGTGGATGGATGGGGTAACACAAGATGCAGAGAAGATCGGAGTCGGCAACTGGAAAATTCAAGCAAGGGACAGAACAGAATGGCGTAGAAAGCTTGAGAAGGTCGAGGCCCTCTAAGGGCTGTAGCACCAAGATGATGATGATGATTCTTGAAATGGAAAAAGCGATTTTTTGGAATCACTTCTAAAGAACTTCGTTGTCTGGCATTTGACTTTGCCCAAGCCAATAATATTGCTAACAATTTTAATAAAGATACTCGAATGGCCTCTAAAAAGTGGGTTTACTCTACAGGATTCAACAAGAATGCAGTCCAAAGTTTTTTCAACAACCTGGAAAGTATTTATAATAAACATCACCTCACTCCATATAGAATCTGGAATCTTGATGAGACCGGAGTGACCACCGTCCAAAAATTATCTAAAGTTCTTGCTCAGAGGGGTAAAAAGCAAGTGGGAGGTTTAACAAGTGCCGAAAGAGGAGTTAATGTGACTATAGTAGCTGCTTTGAGTGCAAGTGGCAATTTTCTTGCGCCTGCTTTTATATTTCCCAGAAAGAAAATAAAACCAGAGCTGATGGACAATGCACCTAACGGTAGTCCGGCATTTCCACAGGAAAAAGGATGGATGGATCGTGATGTTTTTTTAAAATTCATAAAATATTTTGCACAACAAACAGACCTTCGAAGGAGTGCAAAATTCTTATTATTTTGGACGGCCATTGTTCACATACAAAAAGTTTAGACGTTATAAACTTCTGTCGCGAGAATGGTATTATTTTATTATGCCTGCCACCACACTGTACGTATAAAATGCAAGCCCTAGATGTTTCGTATTTTAAATCATTTATGAGTTATTATGATTTGTACCTTACTAGATAACTAAAAAATCATTGTGGTCATACATTTGGAATATATCAAATCTCAGGGGCTGTTGCAGAAGCATTCTCAAAGGCATCTTCTGTACAAATAGCGACAAATGGATTCCGAGTAACCGGAATTTGGCCTTTTAATGAAGACGTATTTCAAGACTGCGAATTCGCTCCCTCTAAAACGACGGAACAATTAGTGGACAATTAAACTACATCACAGGTCAATAAATTACCCGTAATGATGGCTCATACCGAAGGCGTAAATCAAGTTGAAATGTATGATAATCCGATTCCTTCAACCTCAAAACAGTCTGTTTTAAGGTCACTTAAAGATGGCGATTCCGAAGATAACAGACCGATACAGAGAAGCCAAATCATTCCTATCCAATTTCCGACATCCAAGGTAAAAGTGACTGATATAAGTCCGCTACTAAATGCACAGAAAAAGAAAGGTAAGCCTTCTTCTAAACATTCTCTGAAATCCACGATACTCGCAGAATTGCCGTATAAAAATGAATTAGAGACGTTGCAATCCACAATCCCTATTAACAAGGTTAAATTAAATAAGGTGGAAGTTGTATAGAGTAATGTCCCTTTTTGAGAAACCCAACGGACCATTTTAGGATTCCGGTTTCTCATGATGGGACATTCACACTTTTTTTTTAATAACAAAAAACGAAGCATATTTTTTATTTAGTTTATATCTAAAATGTGTTAATAATTAGAATAAAGTTTCATTTTATTACCTCAACTTTTTTTAATATCTATAGATTTTCAAGTATTTGTTATAAAAAAAACTGTCCCAACTTGGGTGACTCTCCCCTACACGATAATTAACGTGATATAAGATCCATGAGCCGTAGTTACCTAAGAAAAGGGAACACTGCTATTTCTTGCGGAGTAGTCTATGAGCAAGGGCAGTTTTGTGGCCAATTGAGGTCCATGGGATTTTACAATCGTTTTGTATGTATTTTGACCCGCTGAATCCAAATCTTTAACATGATAATAGGAATTTTTCGGCAGAAATTTGTTAATAACAAATTTCTGTCCAAAAATTCGGATTGTCATGTTGAAGATGCGGATTCATGAAACTCCCCTTTGCCCTTAGACTAGAGTGCTAGGCTTTTAGAAGATACTGGTTCCATACATGGAAATGCGAAATCTCAAGAAATAATTGGACAGTCTTCACAAGAGCTTCGGGACAATTAGTCTTAGTCTGTCGTAGTGTGTAGTGGGTCAGAGCCTGGTCGATTTCTGAAGTTGGCTAACAGAACCCTTGGATCACTTGTCTCATTCTGCTTTCCCACCGTTCCTGCTATTGCTACTACTCCACATAAAACAAACTTAATAGCAGGTAACAATGGAAAATTATCTTTTTGTGGTACTAAATTTACAATTCTGTTAACTATAGTTAAGGAAAATACACAGAGGTAGAGAGAGAGAGAGAGAGAGAGAGAGAGAGAGAGAGAGAGAGGAGAGAGAGAGAGAGAGAGAGCTCTTGTGAGTGAAAGGCATCCAACAAGTCATTTAGGTACAATATGGATACCAGAAAGCTACCACAAAGTCACACCTAACAAGATTTTAATAATTAATATAATTTAATAGAATACCCTATGGAGAATATAGTATAAACATTTTGTATGATCAAAATCATATATTTATTGGTAAAGTTATCTTCTATTATGGTTTGTTTTTTAACCAGGAGGAGTAATTCAAATTTACCGCGCCGTAACGCTTATTTGTAATTGGTCCAACCGTAGGCAAGTTTACTCCACTAAATTATAACATTTTGACACTAATGACATTTATGAAATTTGAAAACAGAACAATTGAATTTTCAACTTAAGAGGAGATAAAAGTGTAAGTTTTTAGAGATGAAATCCTACAAATCTCTCTTATGTCTTTTAATGAAAACATCATAATGCTAAGATTATAAAAGACAAATTTCTGTGAAAAATCATATTAAGATTATTGACTCTCGCGATCAAAACATTCTCTAACTTATAATTAAATACAACAGACTCAAGAGATTTATAAAACTGGATCACTCGATATTTAAATATATATAAATGAGACCAAATGTGAAAAACGTCCTTTTTTTATTGTAATAATTGTAATATATATTGGAAGTGAATTTACTGGATTACTGCAGCCCGAGATAATCAACCAAAAAAGAAAATGTATTTGGTGACTTTTCTAGTAACTTTCTTGGTTGTGAATCTGTCTTTTTAGTTTACTCCTCCTGGTTAAAAAACAAACCATAGTGCCTTTGGTTCGATGGAAATTGGAGATGTCTTGGACAATTTCCACGCAGCGACAAAGCGAAGAACAATATGAAACAAAATCTTTCGATGACAATATCATAAAATAATGTCAATAATATAAATAAAAGTGTAATCAAACTAATACATCCCGTAACTGCTCCTTAACAAAAACAATTTGCTTATCAGCGCTTCTTTCAACAGGGTTACAAAACTTTTTAATTTATATTTAAAACGGAGAACATTCGTTGGTATTACAGAATTGCTATCGTTCTGTTTTTAATAAAATAAAAACGTAAATATTGTTGTTACATGTCCCTATTTGCGGTCCTGTGCTTTGGCGAAGCCGAGAATACTCTTTTTACCCGAATGTTCCACGCACCCTTTCTATCGATGTTCTCAGCGCCGGCAACTAACTGGA